AGAGAGAGAGAGAGAGTGGACGAGAGAATGAGGGGAGAGGGGCGAGAGAGCGAGAGTGGGGAGAATACGCGATCATCTTCGGAGCGAAGAGCTTGGCGGGGTGAAGGAGGATCGCTGCGAGCCCCTGGAGGCGGGAAGCAGAGGGGCGAGGAAGAAGTGTGGCCGGCGTTGAGCGCATATAGGTAGTCGTGAGAAGAGCCAGTCAGTGACGGGTTGTGTCTTTAGTGGCGTGGTGAACGATTGAGTCGAGCCGCTTGTGTTAAAAAATGAGCTGGCAAGATTACGTTGACAAGCAGCTGCTCGCATCTAGGTGTGTTACCAAAGCAGCGATTGCGGGACACGATGGCAATCTTTGGGCAAAGTCTGAGGGCTTTGAAGTGAGTATGTCGTTCGACTAACGCCTCGGAAGCTTATTATTAGCTAACCGACCGAAGAGGGAAAGTACGCACTGGATATAAACTTCGGGAAGTTTAAACATACCGTATCGATAGTTAATGGTTCGCATTTCTCGTCTCTTCTCCCCCATTCTTTTTAATTGTCGTTGACTTCGATCGATCCGCTATCGGATATTTTCTTTTCAATCGGTTGTTGTAGAATGTTGCACCGATTGGCAATACGTGTATTTATTTATTGATGGAATTTCATACCTATTGGTACGACGATGCGACTACGAGTGTCAGCACGTTACAGTACTGAATCTTGCAGAGTGAGTTTCGCCGTGATAACGTGACAAACGCAAAGGAGGTTTTATCGTGGACAAAAGTACTGCCACGTAATCACCGGCACATTTTGTTCCGGTTGTTTGAATATACGTATATTGTCGCGTGTATGATAAAAATCGGAAAAATCATTCGGATTCCGCATGTTGACCCGGCATGGTTGTTCCCTCGTGTTACCGACGCCGGTTAGATACGGTCGCAGTTCGGGATTAAGTTGTCGGATATGGTTGGAACTTGCGTCGACTTACTCGACGAGGATCAGGACTTTCCGTTCGTTCGTCGGAAATTTTTGTTGCGAAGGATTTTGTTCGCCACCCAAATATGTCTGCAGCAGGGAACTAGCTGTCGTAGATACGTCGCGTAAATTGGCGAATCGATGGGAAAAAGCTAGTCATCGTACGAATCTCGAGTCAGGTTCAGGGGAAGAATTCATTTCGTGTGGTTTCGAAGGTATTTTGATAACGACAGGGTGTGGCAATTTTCAACAGAGAAAATTTCGCCTGGTCGAACTTGAACGGTTTTCGACAAAGTTTAACATGGCTGCCTGCCGGGCACGTTGCCGCTGCCGCCCATGGAAGAGAAATGGTCGCTCCTATTCTCCTTCGCTTCTATTTGTTGTCGATTCTGCTCCATCCTTGGTATTTTTTCCGTCACTGACGTTGCACGCCGTTCTCCCCGAACCGAACGAGAAATTTGAACGTTGATGTTCGTTACAAAGCATGACTCATTTCTTCGGAAGCGATCCTCTGTTATCGAAAGTCGTACGTAGTGACGCCTACGTGGTGTATCTTCGATGTATCAACCTTTTCTGTCTCTCTTCTTTCTGTTAAAATCCAAATCGATATCTGAGAAATTACTCGAGAAAAAAAAAAGAAAAAAGAAAAAAAAAGAGAAACATGAGGAGTATTTTTGCACTCCATTATGAAGATTTTGTCATGCGTACGTCGTGTTTAGATATTCGAGCGGTTCGAATTTTTTGAAGTAAGTTCCGTTGTCTGGAAAGTTGTGATGTGTATTCGAGCAACAAAATTACCCTCGTTGTTGTATTATTTTTTCTTCTCTCTATCAATGTTCCCCGAGTAAAATCGTTTAATGTCGTAAAAAACGATCGGAGACAGTTCTAGAAAAGTTGGACTCGATCGACGCGCCATCCACGGCTACATTTAAAAAGCTCTTGTGAATCGTGTCGGTAAATTCTAAAGATCTCGAATCGGATAACGCATGCGACGCGTTATTAATGTGTGAAATGAAATGAGATGGTAGGAGGCGGCACGGTTGGAAATGTTGGTTAGAACAAAAGGATTGTCTCCTTTGGACATGCGTGTGATATATTCTTTGTGCTCGCATGTACAACTGCAGGATTATTTCTCAAAAGACTTTCTTTTCATTTCCGTCGATCGACAATTGACAATACGTCGTTTAAAATATTATTATTCGCAAAGGAATTACGAATCGTAGCGAATATTTCTTCGAGGTATTTTCAGAGCGCGCATGATTTGTAAAGGGCAAAGGGTTACAATATCTTTCCTGGTGTTCCCGAGGAAAGAAAAGCGAGGCAGAAGCGTAGCGCGCGTTCGGTTACAAGGTAAAGCGGTTCTTTCTCGGGTTCGAAGAAAGGTTTTACGCT